TTGATGTTTTACTAATGAAATTCATTGTGATGTTTCATATAGATTAAAAATAAATAAATAAATAACAGCATTCTCTTTTGCAGCTGGGCTGGAAGTCTCTCAACATGAGAAACAGCATATTTTAACCCCAAATCACAACAAAAGGAAAATATGCTGCAGGCATAAATCATGTAACAGACTTTGCAATCATCTGAGACGTCTACTGAAACATAATCTGCAAGTTGATCTGAACTGAACAAGAAATTTGTTTGTTGTTCTCAAATTTAAGACAATGTAGTAAAATGTACAGAAGTTACACTGTGAAATTGTTATAATTGTAAACTATTATTCATTTTACATATAACAGGTGTATTCAAATCTGAAAACAATGTTAAGTGCTACAGGTTCGTCTTTACAGAAGCATTTTGACCACAACATCAAAAGCACAACAAACACTAAAATCAGTGACGCCTGAATCACATTTACACACATGGACAAAATTGTTGGCACCACTCGTTTAATGAAAGAAAAACCCACAATAGTCACAGAAATAACCTGAATCTGACAAAAGTAATAATAAATAAAAATTCTATGAAAATTAACCAATGAAAATCAGACATTGCTTTTGAACTGTGGTTTAACAGAATTATTTAAAAAAATACACTCATGAAACAGGCCTGGATAAAAATGATGGTACCCTGAACTTAATATTTTGTTACACAACCTTTTGAGGCAATCACTGCAATCAAACGATTTCTGTAACTGTCAATGAGACTTGTGCACCTCTCAGTAGGTATTTTGACCCGCTCCTCATGAGCAGACTGCTCCAGTTGTTTTAGTTTTGAAGGGTACCTTCTCCAGACAGCATGTTTCAGCTCCTTCCACAGATGTTCAATAGGATCTAGATCAGGATTCATAGAAGGCCACTTCAGAATAGTCCAATGTTTTCCTCTGAGCCATTCTTGGGTGTTTTTAGCTGTGTGTTTTGGGTCATTATCCTGTTGCAAGATCCATGACCTGCGACTGAGATCAAGCTTTCTCACACTGGGCAGCACATTTCTCTCTAGAATACCTTGATAGTCTTGAGATTTCATTGTACCCTGCACAGATTCAAGACACCCTGTGCCAGATGCAGCAAAGCAGCCCCAGAACATAACAGAACCTCCTCCATGTTTCCCAGTAGGGACAGTGTTCTTTTCTTGATATGCTTCATTTTTGCATCTGTGAACATAGAGCTGATGTGCCTTGCCAAAAAGTTCCAGTTTTGTCTCGTCTGTCCATAGGACAGTCTCCCAGAAGCTTTGTGGCTTGTCAACATGCAGTTGGGCAAATTCCAGCCTGGCTTTATTATGATTTGTTTTCAACAATGGTGTCCTGCTTGGTCGTCTCCCATGAAGTCCACTTTGGCTCAAACAACGACGGCTGTACCTTGACCTTGGAGTTCACCTTTAATGTCTTTAGAGGTTGTTCTGGGCTCTTTTGTTGCTGTTCGTATTATTCGTCTCTTCGATCTGTCATCAATTTTTCTCCTACGGCCACGTCCAGGGAGGTTGGCTACAGTTCCATGGATCTTAAATTTCTGAATAATATGTGCAACTGTAGTCACAGGAACATCAAGCTGCTTGGAGATGGTCTTATAGCATTTACCTTTAACATACTTGTCTATAATTTTCTTTCTAATCTCCTGAGACAACTCTCTCCTTCGCCTCCTCTGGTCCATGTTTAATGTGGTACACACCATGTCACCAAACAGCACAGTGACTACTTGTAACCCTATAAATAGGCCAACTGACTAATTACAAGTTTGTAGACATCTGTGATGCAAATTAGAGGACACACCTTGATTGAACATGTCCCTATGGTCACATTATTATCAGTCTTTTCTAGGGGTACCATCATTTTTGTCCAAGCCTGTTTCATGAATTTATTTTTTTAAAATAATTCTGTTAAACCACGGTTCAAAAGCAATGTCTAATTTTCATAGAATTTTTATTTATTATTACTTTTGTCAGATTCAAGTTATTTCTGTGAACATTGTGAGTTTTTCTTTTATTAACTGAGGGGTACCAACAATTTTGTCCACGGGTGTAGCTGCTTCAGTTTCAGGATCCTGCTGTTAATGTATCTGCTGGTTCTCTGTCTCGACCTACTCAGATGCCTAAAGAGAGCAAAGTGATCACGGATGTTATTAAGACCACCTGTGCTTTTCATGTCTGCTGTGAATAAGGCAGCACACAGCTGAGTCCACCGATGACATGGACGATGACAAACAGTAACTAGTTAACTTTGATAAAAAGAAAAGAAGTTTGAAGTCCTTATAAATTTACAGAGTCCCCTCACGTAGGTGGTTTGTACAAACTATGCACACAGCATGACTCCAGATACGTGCAGTCACCTGACAAAACATCACCTGTAGACATAATCCGAGTAGCAACTCTGCAACATGAGTGTTTAAAGGTGCCGAACAAAGACAACTTATTACATATCCAAAAGGCAATTAACTTTGAAAGTGAAAGAAAAAGTGTAAATGGTTTAATTTAACCTCAGTTCTTCGAAGTAAAATGACAGAAAATACTTTTACTTTTATTTCAGATACACTTCTTCAATAATAATACTTTTATCAACACCAACTGTGGGCCTACACACCATTTGTTAGACTTTTACGATATCAAAGATTTTGGCTAAATTAACAGGTTGCTTCACCAAAACTGGAACTTTATACAAATTCTCCAGCTTCAACCCAGTCTGTCACCAAATTAAACTGTATTTTTGACACCGTTAAAGTCACATCTACCTAAAAACAAATAGAAAAACTAACAATTTTGTTATGAACCTTTTTGTGGTTGTTGACCTGTTCAGTGTGATTATCCAACATGAATTTGTTTGCAAAAGAGGAAGAAGCTGGTGACAATATCCTCCAATGTGCTGTTAAGAAAGCAAAACCAGTTTAGGAAACACACATAAAGCTCAGCAGCAAAGGAATTCATCTATTTTTCGAAGTTGCAAAATCTGCTTCCATACACTGAGCCCTCAGAAGAATGATCTCTCACAGTTTACCTGTAAATAAACAGGGCTTTTTTTGTTGTTGTTGTTGCATTGTACCAAATGACCTCTTCCTCTCTGAAACGTCCTACAAAACGCTGAAGGACTCTGAATAATTCAATTCCAGTAATGAGATGAATAAACAAATGCATGCATGAATATTCAGAGATTTAGTTCATATCCTTCCAGCTTCAAAAGCCTTTGGAAAATATTGCAACAGCATGCTCAATCTGCTGTGCAGCTGCTTCGTTTTCCTAAAGTGTACCGGCCTTTACTCGTCACTGCTGCCAGCAGAGCTTCTACTGCGTGTCTTTACACGCATAGTTTGCAAAGATGCTTTAATCACACAGGTTGGAAATTAGACGAGCACTCAATGTCCCGATAAAGATAAATCAATAGAAAGTTTAGCTGGACTGACAGGTGCCTGGAAAAGCCACCACTGTCTGGTTTGTGTAATAGACCTCATTCCAACCTGAAGCCAACCGTGAACCGCCACAAACTCTGGCTGTGTTTTCATATGAAGCAGCACGACAGATGAGCTCTGAACATGTTTATTTTATGTTGGCACATTCACTAGTCCATTATAAAAGATGGAGATTATGTAAAATGTGTTTTGTTATGTTTTATGTGTCCACTAAAATAAGAAAAAATGACAAAACTCCACCTAAACTTTTGTTTGTATTCAAGAAATTCACATCTTTTAAATGTAAAATAAAGACTTTATGTAGGAATAATAGAATAATACGATGAGTATGTACATATATAAATCATTAGAAGCTAAATAATTCTCAAATGTCTTGATATTTTCTTCTGCAGACATTAATAGGGGGATTTTCTAGGAAGTCAGTTTTGTTAATAAAACTAAAATGAATAAAGCTGCCTCCTAAAACCATGAATCATGACAGCAATTTTAAAATGTATATTCAGCTTTACTTATTCAGTTTTATGAATGTCATTGTATTTCAATTCAATTCAATTCAATTCAATTCAATTTTATTTGTATAGCGCATATTTACAACAACAAGTCATCTCATAGCGCTTCACAAAGGCATCCTATTATTGTATCCTATTAAAGTTCTGTTTCTTTTAAATATATACATAATTCTGAAATAATTTTGTTTTTATGTGTTTAGTGTGTTTTATAGCCTAAAATACAGTAATGTGTTTTTATTATGTAAAGGGTTTTTCGCTCTTCTGCGTAAAACTGCTGCTGAGGACACAATGATGTTTATTCTCTGTAAAAATGCAATGTGTGTAATATTTGTGCTGCTTTAAATCTCTTCTTTAAAAAGAAAACCATCACCCAAAGACTCTTTCCTTTTCAAATTAATCGTCTTTATTTTTTTTACATTTCAAACCCCCAACAGAACCAGAGATTCATCTGAAATTCCCGTCCAAAATAAGTAAATAAATATCATTTTCATTTTTTTTATTAAAAAAATAAAGAAGTGGTCATTGTTCGCGTCGGGCAGTGAATGACAACCTACTGGGGAGAAGAAAAAAGGAGGGAAGCGTTTGAAGAAGACGGATAGAATAAAGCAGGTGTAACATGTGGAGGCTGGGGGAGTCTTCCCGCACATCAACATGACTCTAATATATAATATCTCCGACTATTTAAACAGAATAATCCATCTACATATTTACACTCTATATTTAGGGGCTGGTTTCAAGTTGGGAGCTTTTTTCATCCGCAGATCCACAGAATGGAAAAAGCCATTAAAAATTGATTTTTAAATAACTTGTCTGGGCTATGAAAAGATTTTCCAGAATGAGCTGAAGTTGTGTGAAGAAAACACCTGTTACAATAGAGGTTAATTATCATAAAACACTAAGTTAGTTGCAACAAAAAAAGAAGAAGTCCCAGTAAGGAAAATCAATGTCGTCGACGCAACAGATTGAGCAACAGTTATAAATAAAAGCGTCAGAATGTGGGGAGACAGTCTGAGAGGAGCCCCGACAAAGTTCCGTGCAGTTTGGAGTCATTTGGAGTCGTTGGCCAGCCTCGGCATGCTCACAGAGCTCATGCTGGACACATGCGGAGGCGGGACTTGGCACATGCTGCACGGACAGGGCATGCCGGTGCCAACGCCCCAGTGCTGGAAGCTGCTGCCCAGAGGCCCCGCACCGGCAGTGGGCGCTTTCAGAAGTCCGTGGTGGGGTCTGACCGAGGTGACGGCGGAGATACCAGGCGCGGACAGAGACGCGGTGGACACGGCGGCCGGCGGGAGCAGCGGATGGTGCACCGCCGGGTGTGACGCGTGGGAAGCCGCCGGGTGTCCCGGCACGGGCCCCGCGTGTGTCATAGTCCCACAGGCCGACGGGTGGAAGCCACCGTGGTGCCCGCTGCTGCCGTAGATCTCGCTCACCAGCCGCTTCATCTCCTCCAGAGAGTTGCTCAGCATCAGGATGTAGTTTCTGGCCAGCAGGAGGGTGGCGATTTTGGAGAGTTTGCGCACCGACGGTCCGTGCGCGTAGGGCATGACCTCCCGCAGCCCGTCCATGGCCACGTTGAGGTCGTGCATCCGTTTCCTCTCGCGGCTGTTGATCTTGAGGCGGATCGATTGCAGCTCGCTCTCCGACAGCAGCTTGCGGTCTTTCTTGGACGCCATCCGCAGGGCAAGCGCCTCCTCGTCGGCGGCGGAGAGGCCGCGCAGGCCGGGGATCTCTGATGGAGAGTCGCTCTGGGTGGAGGACACGGCGCCGGAGAAGCCGTGCACGGACTTCTTCAGGGTGGACATGAAGATGTCGTCCACCTCCGGGGAGGACGGTCTGCTCGATACGCGGCTTGTATCTGAGTCCATAGTGCTGCAGGAAACAAAGTTCAGTTAATCCTAAAGTACCACCGAAAATATAAACAAACTGATGTCTTCATTTTATCAGTGTTGTAAACCATTCACTAAGGAGCAGACCTTATGACTTTGCTCTATCTTATCCTTTTTTTCGATTTAATATATCATAAAACACATTATAAACAGCCTTAGTTATCAAGAAGTGCCTGATCTTTAATGTGGAGCACTCTAGTGATTTGTATTCTTTTCCTTCTGGGTTCTTGCTTGGACTAAAAACAGAAGAAACCTCGCTATGAAACCTCTGTCATCTGACACTAATTGTAAGAATATTATAAATGTTAAACAAACACCTACCGAGAAAGTTTCCAAGCGCGATGCTGAGGAAAAAAAACCTTAAATGTCAAATCCACTTGTTACTCCAAATCGCATCTGACAGCCCATTTGGCACGTCCGCGTGCGACCGCGGGCTTTTATAGCGGGCTGGAGCGCGCGGAGGCCGGGTCACCAGGACAACGCAGCTTCTGTCCGGGCCGCCTCCCTGCGACCAATCAGCGCCGAGCAGGGAGGGAGGGAGGATGAGGGAGGAGAGGGGGGAGGAGGAGGGTGACGGAGGGTCCTCCATCCTGATGTAATTACCAACACACAGCATCACTATTAAGTGAAATCAGACACACTCCCTCCTACATATGGCTCCTTCTTGTGGAAATGTTGTCCCGCGTGTGGATGGCTTTTATTATAATACCTGACACATTTTGCCTTTCATAAATGAAAACGTAATTTTTAGTGGAGATGATAACATAACTCAGAGCTCAGCTGAAGTATTTGCATAAATAATAATGACATAGTCGTTTTTTTTTTTTTTTAATGAAAGAAAAGTCTTCAAATGTAATTATTTTGAATTTTAAGACCATTTAATTTTATTCATGCAGCCTACAACGGTTTATCTCACATATTATTTTGATCAAAAATTCGTTTACGGTCGATTGTTTTTTATTTTTATTGTAACGTATCCGACCATAAAATCACGTCACCCGTTCAAATGAACAGTAACCACCGGTCAAAGCCTGGTAGAAAACAGCGCAATATGTTTCCTGCTTGCAGCGCCGGGAGTTAATACGGTGTTTTCCGTTTTTACCCGCTGTCGGCCAGCAGCTGTCGTTGAAGTGCATCTTTAACGTTAATTAATGAAGTGTGCAAAATTTGTCTTTAACGGTTATGATCCGTAATATTTCAATTAGTGCGCGGTGAGCGATAGCCCCGCGGTGTGGCCTGCTGCTGCTGCTGCTGCTGCTGCTGCTGCTGCTGCCGCGGCTGCTACGGGGCGCTCAGGCGGCCCGACAGAAGGGCCCCGGGCCGCTGGTCTGCTCCGGCACGTCGGGCCTAACCGAAGCTGACAGCTGCTTTGTCCCCAAATATGACAAGCATTGTGCAGTCGGACGCAATCAGCTCTAATTGCCTCTACAAGTTTATCTGTTTTCATAAGACTGAGGAGGGAATATAATCCTGTCCTCTCTGCATTTGGTTGAGGATAAAATAAAATGCACGTTAAGGAGAAGATAACAGCTCCATGAAAGACAAATTTCAAAAGGAGAGCTTTCGATTTCTAACAGGTTAATTTAAGAAGTCAAAGTTTCTAATTTATGTCAATTTCAGTTATTTTCTACGAAAGAAGGGAGGAGACAGATT